TTTGCTGACTAAAATTTTGACAGTACAAAATGAACGCTTCTCTTGCAAGAAAATGAACGCTTGCTCTCTCAATTTTTGTGTGTTGGATATTTTTTTTGTCGTTATCGAACGCCATCCAGTAAAAATTTGGAAAAACTATTACAAATTTTTGACTTTTCGAACGCAACTTATATTATGACGTCAGCGATTGGGTGGATGCTGTCAAATCGACGAAGAGAGGGTTAGCGGACCGCGAATGGCGCGACCTTTATTTTCTGGATCGTGGTATTTCGTAATAATTCACTTTTCCTTACAAGGCGTGTGCAGTGTTCGATGCTTTTCGGTATCTTCTTTCGTTTGATCACGCGATTTTTTATTAAAAATACCCAACAACACATAGAAATAATGCCAAATTATATATCAGGCGATTTTGAATAAAGAATAAAAAAGTTAATTAAAAATAGAAAAAACAAGTTATAAAAAAAATGTTCTTTTTAACAAATGTATTTTTGCGTAGAACTCCTTTCTGCGTAGGCGGCCTTCGGCCGCACTTAGCGATTATAACCCTCACAAAGTAGAATTCTCTTTCTGTTTTGCGAAGAAAAGGAGCTGAACACCTTTTGCAGAGAACACCTTTCTTCGTAGGCGGCCTTCGGCCACACTTAGGGATTATAACCTCACAAAGTAGAATTCTCTTTCTGTTTTGCGAAGAAAAGGAGCTGAACACCTTTTGTAGAAAAAACCTTTAAAAGAAAAGTCAAGCGCGTGATTTTGAAGGAGTGATTTAATGAATTGTGATTAATTGGTTATTATTAAAGTTGTAAAGAAAATTATAACTAATCGGGTCAAGTGTAAAGTGAAGGGGAATACAAAAATATGGTAATTCTCTAGTATAGAGTAGCAACCCCTAAAAAGGTCGGGGAAAGTCGGGAGGGGTACCAAACGACGCGTGTTTGTCCTCCTATTAACAAATTTTCATTATTTATCGAAGTATTGATTTTTATGGAAAAAGCGCCGCAGGCGATACAAAACAACGAAATTTAACAAAAGTTTTTTAATAATAACTTTTAAATGGTTAATAGTATTAACCCTCCGTCTCCGGATTGTTAATAGGAGGACCGAAACGCGTCGTTTGGTACCCCTCCCGACTTTCCCGGACCTTTTTTATGGGTTGCTACTCTATACTAGAGAATTACCATATTTTTGTATTCCCCTTCACTTTACACTTTACCCGATTAGCTATAATTTTCTTTATGACTTTAATATTAACCAATTAATCACAATTCATTAAATCACACCTTCAAAATCACGCGCTTGACTTTTCTTTTAAAGGTTTTCTCTGCAAAAGGTGTTCAGCTCCTTTTCTTCGCAAAACAGAAAGAGAATTCTACTTTGTGAGGTTATAATTCCTAAGTGCGGCCGAAGGCCGCCTACGAAGAAAGGTGTTCTCTGCAAAAGGTGTTAAGCTCCTTTTCTTCGCAAAACAGAAAGAGAATTCTACTTTGTGAGGGTTATAATCGCTAAGTGCGGCCGAAGGCCGCCTACGCAGAAAGGAGTTCTACGCAAAAATACATTTGTTAAAAAGAACATTTTTTTTTATAAGAACTTGTTTTTCTATTTTTAATTAACTTTTTTATTCTTTATTCAAAATGGCCCGATATATAATTTGGCATTATTTCTATGTGTTAGATATATTACATTTATAAGTTTACTTTCATATTCATATGGCAAGTGTGAACCACATATTACACTTCTATATGATATTTTGATTACAAAGGTGGAAACACATCTCTATTATTAAGTGTCATCTCTATGTTGTAATTTCTGGATTCTTCCCTTTTTATATCCGATCGTTGCCCGATAAAACTGAGTACTAAATAATTCAAAAGGAGTTTAAAATAGTATTTATATTCATATGGTAGCAGAGCAAGGTTTGCTAACCAAAATACATTGACATCGACTATTTTCTTGTATACGAACTAAAAAATTAAATTTGCACGTTGTGGCCCATGAGGGTTTCTAACCCCGTAGCAGAGTGGAAATAAGTTTGCACGTAGCAGCAGATTGGTGGTGAGCAAGTGTTACACGAGGTCAGAAATTAGCAAGTTAAAAATGCATTCACTAGTAAAATGGGATGAGGCTATGATACCTATTTTCGATGGCGCTGACTATACGCATTGGAAAAAACGCATCCAAAAATTCTTGGAGCTCAAAAGGTGTAACGAGGTAGTGCTGCGTGAACAAACAAGTACCGACAAACCCGAAGATTGGTCATTAATGGAAATTAAGGCGCATAATATTATATACAGCGCAATTTTCAATGCTCAGTTTGAATTCATCGGTGATTTAGAAACACCACGCGAAATAATGTTAAAATTTGATCAAATGTACGAAAATAAATCGACAGCTCTTCAAAAACTATCGAAAGCACGAAATTGCAAAACTATCAAAGTGCTGAGGATTTCTTCAACACTTTTGAAAAGGGGTTCAATGGTCTCAAAGCTGCGGGAGCCACAATTAAAGAGGAAGAAAAGTTAAATTACATGTTGAAAGCGTTACCGGCATCCTATAGTCATATAGGAGATATGATGGATGTGCTACCACAAAAAGAAAAAACCTGTGAATGGTTAAAACAGAAGATTAAACTGAAAGCTGCGGATACAAACGTAAGCACAAGCAGTGATGGGTCATTGGCGAGGACCAACGTGTTTGCAGCATCAACCTTAAACAAAGGAAACAGTCACATAACCAACTACAAATGTTTTAGGTGTGGAGAAATTGGCCACACGCAAAGGTACTGCAACTCCAGCAGTCAAGGAGAGCAACAGAATAATCAACAACGAGGACGCGGCAAAGATGGATATCGTGGTAACAATCAGGGGCGACCAGGATCAAATCAGCGCGGAGTATTACGTGGCAAGGGGCGGCAACAACATAGCGAGCAATGCAGCAGCAGTAGTGTATTCACAGCTAGTGTAAGTAGTTCAGTTATAAGTAAAAAATGCAATAATGAAATAATCTGGTTGCTTGATAGTGGTTGCACTGATCATATTATTAATAACGAGGCATATTTTCAAGCTTGTGTAAACCTAAATAAATCAGCCGAAGTAAAACTTGGTGATGGTCGTACGCTTCAAGCAACCAAGATTGGAACCGTAAAGGCAAAGTTTCAAATATTTAAAAAATTTTCAATAATTACTATTAAAAATGTTTACTTTGTAAAGAACATGAAATCAAATCTGCTAAGTTATACTAAGATACTAGAAAATAACAAAATTGTGTCCGAAGGAAAACTTAGCAAAATCTATAATAAAGAAAATAGACTAGTGGTAGTTGCGCAAAAGATAAATAATTTGCTTTTTGTAAAAGGAAATTTTTTGAATGAAAAGGAAATTGAAGATAATGCAACTGAATACAAAAGTAATAAAATGACTCAGAAAGAAAAATGGCACAGAACTCTGGGCCATGTAAATTTTAACGCTCTCAATAGACTGTGTAAGAGTAAAGTAGTAGAAAATCTTCCAACTGAGCTTGAAGATGACTATCTAAAATGCGCAATTTGCTTAGAAAATAAAATGAATAGAAAACCGTTTGAAAATAGTAGAACTAAAGCAACTGCAATACTTGAAATCATACATACACACCTAAATGGGCCTCATAGTACTGTTGGAAGTAGTGGGGAAAAATATTTCCTTACAATAACCTACGATTATAGCAAACTGATTAAAGTTTACTGTATAAAGAGTAAAGATCAAGTTCATGAGTGTATAGTTGAATATATTAATTTAGTCGAAAATTTAACTAACAAAAGAGTAAAGAAAATTAGATGTGATAACGGTACTGAGTACGTAAATAAAAAAACTATTAATTTTGTTCGTGAAAAGGCTATAGAATTAAATCCGTGTCCCGCATACGTACATGAATTAAACGGTACAGCTGAGAGATTGAATGCAACCATTATGGATATGTCCAGATGTTTATTAGCAGAAGCTCAAATTGACAGGAAATATTGGCCAGAAGCTGTAAAGACGTCAGCATATTTGAAGAATAGAATTTTAGCCAAAACCATTGAGAGAAAAACGCCTTATGAGATTTTTTTTAATAGAAAGCCTGATGCCAAATATCTTAAGATTTTTGGAAGCAAAGTATGTGTTCGAATACCGGACCAAATAAGAGGATCAAAATGGAACGAGAAAGGGAAATTTGGAATACTTGTTGGCTATACAGATGTAGGAGTAATAGAGAAAGATACAAAGATAATAGTCCGTGATGAACCAGTCGAAACATACGATGAAGAACCAGATGAGATGGCTAATATTGAAGAAAAGGATCAATATCCATATGAATCGGATGAATTTTGTGAATGCGAAGACTTGAACAGGACCGTTGAGGAACGTGAACCAAGTAGTTCTAACAATGCGAACAGTCCAGCATTGAGTAGATCTGAAAGAAGCAAGAAGACGACTAGAGATGACCAGTTCGTCTATCAAACGATCAATGTCAATTATACTAACGTCCTGGTCCCGGAAACGTATAATGAAGCAGTTATGTCCCCTGAAGCTCAACTATGGAAAAAGGCAATGGATTTTGAATACGAAAGCCTCATGAGGAACGAAACGTGGAAACTAGTCGAAAGACCACAAAACGACTATTATCGGCCTGAAATGGATTTACAAAATAAAGCCAGCAGCAAAAGCACGCCTAGCTGCAAGAGGTTTTCAACAGCGCTAAGGAATTGAAGACACATACTCACCTGCCTTTAAAACCCAAACGCTGAAAATATTACTAGCATATTGTTGTCAGAATGGATTTATTATCCATCAAATGGATGTGAATACAGCATTTCTCAATGGTGTAATAAAAGGTGAAGTATATGTTGAACAACCAGAAGGCTATTCAGATCGTTCCGGTAGGGTGTGTAGGCTGAATAGAGCTCTGTACGGTCTAACGGATAGCCCGCGTATATGGTATGAATGCTTCCACCGGTACTTGAGTTCATTGGGTTTTATCAGAGATAAGGTCGATTATTGTTTGTATTATATACTAATTAAAGATTAAACCATATATATTCTACAATTTGTTGATGATATACTGATTTGCAGTAATAAAGAAAGTAATATTGAAGAAATTAAGCAAAAGTTATCGAAAAGATTTAGCATGAAAGATCTGGGTTCAATTAAAAATTACATTGGCATTGAAATAAAGTATGATAAAGAGTCTAACTATGATATGCTACTAAGTCAAAAAACCTATATAGAGTCAATAGCAATAAAGTACGGTGTTAATAACGCTAGACTACATTCAACCCCAATGGAGGTAAATCTAAAATTAGAGAAGACCGATAATGTAAACAATAATAACATCAAGTATAGAAATATTATTGGTGCCTTTTTATACATA